GCATTGTTTCCCTTCTTGTATTCAAAAAGCATTACATGCCAAATGTGTCTCTCATCATGTGCCATTACTATAAGGGATTAGAGTATACTAAACTTTACACATTATATAGGCTACACTAACGTTATGTTTAAGTAGTTACATTTAACTATTATACGTGATGTACTTAAAGTTTCTACTCATTTGTTTACTGCCTCATTGTGATTAATGTCCAGAACAGTATTTTTTGTATGCTCTATAAACAGTGTACATTAACACAGATTTTTTGAGTTGTTTATTTGTTAATACAAACTCCAACTCTCCCTTCTCCGGCCAATTTGTGCCATGTTTACAAGATTGTGCACTGGCCTTAACGCATGTGGATGTAAAGCAAGCAGTCTGTTTTGCAGCTGTCTCTCAAAAAGTGTTCATTGTGAAGACTTGTATAAAAATTCAGTATTACAAGTTATGCATGAAGAAAATTATCCATTCTTGTAACAATATGATTTATAACTTTAACAGGAATTGGAGAAACACTAGTATTGAATATAAAACTAGAATGTAGTACATATGGCAGTTACATTACTGAATGCACTTCATAAATGTTTTACTCAATAATGTGTTTAGTTTTGTGGGGGGAACAAACATTTTCACAATTAAATTTCTTGTTTGATTTGTAATGCCAATCCAGTATTGCAGTCTTTCATTACAATCTGCCTGAAACAAACAAAAAGCAGATGGATGTTTTAAGAACATACACTGAATTTTGTTTGAGACTTCAGTAATATAGGTAACTATATATATCAAGCTTCAATAATAGGTTGGTAGGTATAATATTGTGTGGTTTTAGTAATACACGTTAGGTAAGTAGCTATATAATTAGTTTTGTTGAGATGATTTAGTAAAGATTGGAAAATATATGTTGACTGTAGTTGTTTAAACTGTTTGACATTTACACTATTGTACAAAACATATACCTAAAAGAAGAGGGATTGGATCGTGCGTATTGTTTTAAAACAATGTTGAAAGGACATCATTTGGTGTCAATAAACAGATTATAAAATAATTGACCACCAGCATTTTTATCACATTTTAAGATCTTTAAAACCTTGTTTCTATTTCCCAAACACTGTTTATATTGACCAGCGTCTAATAGCATTTCTTTAAATAATTTTGCCATTTCATATGTATGCTCTCAGGGAAGGGTGGAGGTAATAAAAAAAAGGTTTGTATGTTTGTGAAAAAAGGTGGAACTTGTGAATGATCCTTGATATTCAAAATAGTTATATACTGAAATTTTTTTAGGTTTAAATAATAGATAAATAGTTGTATTAAATTTTACTGCGAGGGTCAAGTACTAGATAGATTACCAAGTATTTCCGTCTGAGGTTTCTGTACAGACTTTTCTAGATAGATTACCAAGTATTTCCATCTGAGGTTTCTGTACAGACTTTTCTAGATAGATTACCATGTATTTCCATCTGAGGTTTCTGTACAGACTTTCTAGATAGATTACCATGTATTTCCATCTGAGGTTTCTGTACAGACTTTCT